GTTCGAGATGGAGTCTAAGATGGAGTTTGAGATGGAGTTCAAGATGAACCTGAGATGCAGTTTAAGATGGAGTCTGAGATGGACCCAAGATGGAGTCCGAGATGGATCTGAGATGGAGTCTGAGGTGGAGTCTGAAGTGGATCGGAGATGGAATCCAAGGTCAAGGCTGAGGCCAAGACCAAGACTGAGACCGAGATTGAAACCGAGACTGAGACCAAGTTTAAGATCGAGTCCAAGACCAAGTCCGAGTCCGAGACTGAGTCTAAGTCCAAGTCTGAGTCCAAGTCCAAGTTTGAGTCTGAGGGTGAAAGCCCAAAGTGTTCATCTCCTAGACCCTGGGAAGTTTGGTAAGCTCCAAAAGTATAGTACAAGGAGGACTCTAGTGGAGCTAATTTAGCTAGGAAAGGCTAGTGTGATCAAGGAAAAGTATGCCCACGTGCTAGGTGATGATATATCCATTGAAGAGTCCAAGGCTAAAGTGAATATAGATAGACAAGCGGGGTAGCTTGGTGAAATGTTCAAGAACCAGCTCTAGCTCCCCCAAGAGATCGAATGGTCAATTTCCTGGGCAAATTGAGAAACTGGTCATCATATGTGCCCTTCTGGTCTAAGTGCATATGTGATGACCAATTTCTCAACTAGCTTAGGCGAAGACTAATAAAGGGTCTAACAATACCGAACTCCTGTCGTTGTGGCACTAAGGAGAGAATATCCAAAAGGACTAGGTGACAAGTAACTTTCACTACTCGAAGTTACATTCACGACAATATTGTCCTAAAGTCCTGGACTGTGGAAAAAAAGAGGAGTAACCCTCTTATGTAGTGACTAAGGATATGGTCATGATGAGGGAGTCCCAGAAATTAGTGGGACTTAGTGGTCTGGCCTTTAAACCTTGACCCAGTGGCAGTGTTGGTAAGCACAGCCGTGGATGGGGACTTGGTCAAATAAAATTAAAAACTTTGAGAAATTTGGTTTCAATCTTAAAAGGAGAGTTGAAGACATGAGTGATAGAATTGAGACTATTCCCACAAAAATGCATAGGAAGTCAACAAAAAAAAAGTAAGGCAATTAAACTTATTAGTACCATCTCCAAGCAAAAGTAGGGTAAAATAAACTTGACTCAAACGCTTGAGTGTGCGATTCTGTCAATGATAAAACATTGTCAAGGTATGGCATTTTCTTTTGTTTTTCCAATATTTGAAGAGTTGGCCAGTCATGGAGTGGAGAAGTGACAAGATTCTAGAGAATATTTAAAAGAAGGATATTCCAAGAGTTTATGACAAGAAGAAAGGAAGTTAAGAGAAGTTAGGAGAATGACAAGTGAAGCTTGGCGTGAGGTAGAGAGGCAAAACAATGGAGCACAGCATAGAGCCAATGTGGTGACATGGCATATTTAAGTGCAGTGACGTGTGGAACAAGCAAGGTTATCTAGTGAGCAGCGAGTGAGTACAATATGCCCACACTATGGGCAAGAGTGGATTAGGCTGCTAGCTGAAGTCTTGGCTGAATTGTAGGAATAAAAGCTTTTATTCCCACACAGCTCTTGGAGTATGAGTTCAAGGTTTTAGTTGGATTTTTAGATGTTAGATTCTCTCCACAAAGTACATCATTACACTTATATATCAGTACATAGTCAAAATAGAAGCTAAAGAGTATATAATTGTCATTCAAAACCTTCCTTCTTACACTTGTCTAGACTTTACAATGTGTGAAGAACATGGGAAAGCATAAACTCTTTACAAATATATGTATTACATTTTCATCAACATCTTGCATCAGGATCTTAAAGTGAGTATTCATATACACCAAGCAAGCCTTACTATTGTTAAGTTGCAAAAGACTTTTGGAGCTAACTAGATTTTCCAAGATTATTCTCTATCAATAATATAAAGCCCATTTAGATATAGGATTTAGGTATTTAGAAAGTATTTTGCTGTAGTTTTATATAATAATAAATTACAATAGTATCTTCAAAATAATATTTAGTTCCACAGTAAGTATTTTGAGACCATATAAGTTTATTATCTCCAGAATATAATAATAAATTCTCATCTAATTGTAATCTTAAAATACAACTTTTGCCTCTGCTGTTTGTGTGGACTATTTATTTATATTCTCAATATAATGTTAAATCACAATTTTATTTTAAATAAAGATAAGCTTTCTTATTTGGAGACATAATAAACAATCCTGTTTTTAAATATTGATGAGGCATATTAAAGTATCCACCCACTAAAAAAACTTAAATAAACAAAACAACCATGTTTATTTTTTTGAACTAAAATTTCTCACCATAAACTGAAAAATATGTCACTACATTAACATATGATGAACTAAAAGTAATTATTATACTTTTTCTTTTGCAAAAACACAAGAAAATGACTTTGGGGAAACAATTGTGATGACACAGGATAATATGTAAATAATTATAAACTCCATCACTGTTATGATACCATCATTGCTTATTGCAAGGGGTCAGCATATGTTTGGTACTTTGCTACTGGTAGATGATGGCTTTTATGATTATTTAAACGTTGGTCTTAGTATTTGGGTTTATACTCAATTGAAAATAATTTTGCAAATTGTGCTGCTAATCCTAATGGAGATCTTGATAATTGGGATACTGTTAGACAAGCATTAGAAACATTGTTACAAGGATCACAGCATTATCAGACCATTCTTCAACAACATTTTGTTAGGTTCCAAACCTTTAGCAAATTTCATGTTTCTTTACAAAAAGCTTTAATAAAATGCAAATATTTCGCACTTTTTGAATTTGTCCATTACCAAAAAGTGTATCTACAGTGATGAACAAATGTTTGAGAGCAAAACATAGGAAGAAGTTATTGTCGACGACGTTGAGTGTAAGGCCCTCTCTCCAGCTCTAGTCCCCCTCTCGAAATCGTCGTGAGTTTTACAAGCTCCCAGCAAAATCCCCCACACAACTTCACTGGCTGGTGAAGGCATGTCTCTCGCGACGTCCTCGGCCTCTTTCAATCTCCCCGTTCTTCCAAGCAAATCGATCATCGCTCCAAAGTGTTCCTTCTCTGGCCTCAAACCATAGTCCTCAGCCATGGACACAAAGTATCTCACACCATCTTCCACCATTCCTGCATGGCTGCACGCTGTTAAGACGTGCAAGTAAGATCCTTCCTCTTGCTTCACACCTTCCAGATCCATCTCACGGAAAAGCTCGATCGCGCAGGCTCCCCGCGCTCCATTGACATAAGCAGCGAGCATGACGTTCCAGCAGTAAGCATCTGGCCTCGAGATCTTGTGGAAAACTCTTCTTGCTTCGTCGAGATCTCCCTGCTGAGCGTGTGCTGCAACCAAAGTCCACAACACAGACGATGGATTTGGCATCTGTTCTATCAAAGCCTTCACCTCGTTGGTTGTTCCGTGTCTGTGGTTAGCCACCACGATCGCATTCCAGGACGCTAGATCCCTCTCGGGCATTGCATCAAAGAGCTCCTGAGCTTGGACGAGATTTCCACTCTGGTCGCACACCGAGATCATGGAATTCCACGAGAGAACGTTGGTCATCGGCATTCGATCGAAGGCTTGCTTACCTTGCTGGAGATCGCCAAGCTGAGCGTAAGCTTGGACCAAAGCCGTCCACGAGATAACGTTTCTCTCCGGCATAGTATCAAACATTGACTTGGCCTGTTCGACCTCTCCATTTCGCGAGAAAGCCACCATGAGAGCCGTGGAGGAGACCACGTCTTGCTCGGGCATCTTGTCAAAGGCCTCTTTTGCTTCCAAAAGGTGGCCCTTCTGTGAGGCCGAGATCACTGCAGTGAACAAACGAGCATTGTGAGCATAGGAGGAATCAAAAACAAGTTTGGCCTGTTCGAAGTCCTCGCAGTCCGAGTGAGCCTGGCAGAGAGTCGTCCATGAGACCACATTCCACTGCGGCATTTTGTCGAAGGCACACTGTGCTTTCGCGATGTCGCCACCTTGAGCGCAGGCAGCCACCAATGAGTTCCAAGTCACCACGTTTCGCTCCGGGAGATCGCGGAAGAGGCTCTCGGCGGCAGCGAGTTCCCCATTCTGGCCCAGAACAGCAACGAGCGAGTTAAACGAAATAGCATCATGCATTGGCATTTTCTGGAAAAAACTCACCACCTTTTCGGAGCTCACGAACTCGGCCGAGGATGAAACCACCGTCGTCCAGCTTACCACGCTTCGCTCTGGCATGCCATCAAAAAACTCTTTGCAGGACTCGAAATCGCCGGACTGGGCATTTGCAGCTAGCATGGAGTTCCAAGTCACAACGTTTCGCCAGGGGGATCTCTCAAACACCACGGCCGCTTCGTCAAGCTTCCCATTCTCTTGAAATCCTTGCACCATGGCGCTCCAGGTAATAACATCGCGAGACTCCATCTCATCAAAGAGAGACTTTGCTTCTTCCAGGTGCCCCTTGTGGGTATAGGCCGATAGGAGCGCGTTGCAAGCGATTGGATCGTGGAAGGGCATCCTGCGGGAAATATCCCTGGCCTGATCCACGCACCTGTTGTGGCAATAGCTCGCCAGCATGATCGTCCACGAGAAGAGGTTCCTGCGCGGCATGGAATCGAAGACGCCCCGTGCGGCGTCGGCGCCGCCGCATTTGCCATACATGTCGACGAGGAGATTGCCGAGCAAGGGATCGCCGCTGAGCAGCGCGCTGGATCGGATGCGCCAGTGGAGGCGCGCGCCCTCGCCCACATCCCTCGCAGCGCTGCATTCGCGAAGAGCCCTAATCAAAACCTCCTTCTCCGGGTTCCACATACCGTACAAAGTAGTCGTTTCGACCGTACAATCTAACTACCGTACAAAGTAGTTATTTTTAACCGTACGACCTACTTGCCGTACAAAGCTTAAAGGTTGTGGACCACGTGGACCATATCCTTGTCCTTGGAAAGGAATTTCTCCACAAGGCAAGAAAAGGTTGGGTTAGCTATAAAATAGGTGTTCTTGAGGGAGAGAAGAGAGAAAGGAAAAGCATGGATCATATGGCGATGGCGCCCATGAGCTTCTTCTGGCACATCAAATTCACGCTCCTCTTCCCCGGCTGGGTGCCCGACACTCCACTCCTCTACGCGCTCACGCTCATCTTCGCCGTGGTGTTCGCGATTGCCCACGAATGGATCGCCGCCAAGCGCTCGACCATCCTCGCCCCCTCGCCCTCGCCCAACGCCTATTCCGCGCCGGATTTGGAGAAGGGAGCCAGCAGCGACGAGGATCCGGCCAGAAATCCTCCCAAGTCTATCGTGGCGATCGTGCTCGCGGTGGTGATCCACGGCGCCTATGTGATCACGAGCTACTTGCTGATGATGATGGTGATGACTTTCAACGCTGGGATCTTCATCGCGGTCATGGTAGGATTGTGTATCGGATTCCTTTTCTTCAAGCTTCTGCCAAATCGACCCAGGATTTCTTCCACCGCGCCCGGATCCTCTGTTTAGCTGTTTAGAGGGAAAAGTTATATTTGTAAAGCTCCTATCATCAATCAATGGTTGCTTTAATTTATCCTGGCCGTTGGGTAAATTCCCAGAGATTCCGAATCGACGGTGCCGCGCCGCGCGGCTCCTACTGTGTATGGCGGAAAGGGAGAGGTTTTATTTTCTCGCTTTGATTTGTGGCCGAGGGCTCGGCGGCACGGCACGGCGCGCTAGAGGTGAGTGACGATTTTGCGGCACGGCCGTGGCGCGGGAATGATAATCCGTGCTCGCGCTTGCTTGCTAGCATCTTGGGGCGCGATTCGAGCTGATTGAGTGGCGGATTAGGGTTTACGCGCTCGGGGAGCCCGGATTTCGTCCACTCGCAGGTAGAGTTCTCCCTCTAAGGATCCGAGGAATCACACCATTTTCTTGCTTTGGCAGTGATCGCTCCAAACAGACATTCACAAAGAGCTACTCAGGTAAGCGGTTGGTTACTTTAAGTGAGTTTTGGTGTTGATACGTGTGTTTTCTCTCGTTTTGGTTCTCTTATTAGTGTCATGTCTCGTCACGCTGACTCGGATGATTCGTCCAACGAGGGCAGTGGGACTGACTCGGAGGAGGACCAGAAGCCCGACGAGATGTCGTCCCGCTCGGAGGGTTCGTCCGAGTCCGACTCTGGGGACGAGACCGAGGAGACCGAATCGCGGTACATGGTCCAGAAGAATGATCCTGGCGACAAGAGAACTCGCGAGGATCTAGCCGCTGTGGAGCCGGCGGCCAAGAAGTTGAAAACTCTGGGAGGAGGAGGAGTGAGGCCGACTATACCCACGAAGTGTGACTCCCAGATTAAAACTCTGCCGGCGAACAGGACCGTGGCGACTGCGAAGACTCCTCCCGTCAAGAAGCCCGTGGATCCACTGCCCAAGAAGCCGGGAGAAGCGCAGGCCAAGAAGAAAGAGCCAGAGAAGGAGCCAACGCCGAAAAAGACTCCACAGAATTGGTCGAGCGAGGACGAGATCGAGCTCATTTCCCGGATCTTGAGCGACATGAAGACGGGGATCCGACCACCCAAACGAGGCTCCCGGGGTGACAACTATCACTACTGGGGTGATCTTCTCGAGGCTTGCCGGAGTAAGTTCATCACGGACTGGTCCAAGGAGCAGCTCTACGACAAGTACAGGCGGATAAAGATGCGGTACGACGAGATGGTTAAGAAGGAGAGGAGCGAGGGGATTACTGCTTTGAAGTTCAAGAATCCGGGAGAAGAGAAGGTGTACAAGCTCTGGAAGGAGATATACGACATGCAGGAGCAGGAGGAGTCAGAGCCACCATCGGCTGTGAAGCCAGACGCGAACAAGAAGACGAGAACTCCGCCACCTCTCAAGAGCAGCGAAGATGACACCAAGAAAGACGTTGCGTCCACGTCCAAGAAGCCGAAGCCTCCTGCTGCTGCTGCAAGGCAAGAGCCAAAGCAGAACGGGAGCGTCGGCGAGCAACGACAGCAGCAGCAGCAGCCGCAGAGCCCGCCGCCGCCCCAAGCCGAGAGGAATCTCACGGTGGCGGCTATGAACGAGCTGCAAAAGAAGAGCAACGCGGCTCTCTCGGAGATGCAAGGCAAGATCGACGAGATCATGAACGACTTCCATGCGAGGAGCCAGGGGATGGTCCAGGAGGCAGTGAAAGGTGCCGGGGGGAAAGCGGAGTGGCTTAACGAGTGGCTGACTTTCTCCATGGCCCGGGGCAGCGCCACTCCCTTTTTTGGCATGGAGATGCTGGGAGGCATTGGAACGGGATGGATTGGAGGCCCGTGGGATGGATCGAGCCCGGCTGCCATGAAACTCAAGGAACACTGGCTCAAGCAACAGGAGGACGAGCTTAGAGTGATGGAGCAGCGAGTTCGGCTGTTGCAGGATCTATGCCGCCACCAGCAGGAGCTGCTCAAGGCACGGGGTCACTAGATTTCGCGCGAGAAAAAATTCGTGGAGCAAAGACAAGAAGAAAGAGGTAACACAGATTCTGTTATATTTATTTTTCCTTCTTTCGTAGCTTTAGGAAGGACAGGCATGGTGTGTGATTCTTTGTTTTTTTTTTTCTTCCTTTTAATGTTGTTTCAAGCATGTTTCAGTTTCGTAGATGGTCTCTAGCGTCGTGCCGAGGAGCAAGCTGATCGAAAGTATTCGGTCGTGCAAGGAGGGCGTGGAAGCCAAGAAGCTCCACGACCAGGTTCTCGCCAGTGGCTTCTCCCAGGTTCGCTTCTTTGGGAACCTCTTGATTCACATGTACGGCAGGCTGGGAGAACTCGTCCAGGCACGTTCGATCTTCGACAGCATCCGTGATCCCTGTGTCTACTCTTGGGGGAGTATAACTTCGGCTTACATTTCCAATGGCCAGCTCCAGGAGGCCAGGAAGATCTTCGCCAGAGCACCGCTCAAGAACTTGGTCAGCTGGACGAGCATGGTCCAGGGGAATGCCAGGCACGGAGACATGGAGGAGGCCAAGAGGCTGTTCGAGAGGATGCCCGAGTGGGATATCGTGCTGTGGGGGGTGATGTTGGCGGGGTATGCCCAGAGGGGGTATATGGACCAGGCGGAGTTTTTCTTCGAAGAGATGCCGGAGAGGAACTCGGTGGCTTGGAACATCATGGTGGCTGGCTACGCGCAGAATGATCTCCTGGAGAAGGCCAAGGCTCTCTTCGATCGGATGCCCGAGTGGGACGTTGTCTCGTGCTCGACGATACTCCAGGTGTTTGCCGAGAATGGCCAGTTTGTGGAGGCCAAGAGGACGTTTGATAGCTCACCCGAGAGGAACGTTTTCTCCTGGACGGAGATGCTGGGGGCTCTCGCAAACCAGGGGAAAGTTGACGAGGCCCAGGAGGTTTTCCACCGGATGCCGCAGTGGAACGTTGTGACGCTCAACTCGATGCTGGCAGCGAATGCGCAGAATGGGTATCTGGATCAGGCCAAGGCAGTGTTCGATCGGATGCAAGAGAGGACAGCCGTCTCGTGGAACTCGATGATCACGGCCTACGGTCAGAACGGCTGCATCGACATGGCTCGAGAGACTTTCGACAATCTCCCAGGCAGGAACGACGCGTCGTGGTCAGGCTTGATCGCGGCTTTCGCGCAGAACGGGCTTCTGGACGAAGCCAACCGGGTTTTCGAGAGGATGCCGCAGTGGACTTCCATCGCCTGGAACGCGATCGCGGCAGGGACTGCGCAAAACGGCAGGGTGGAAGCGGCGATGGATCTCTTTGGCAAGATGGCCGGGAAGAACTCGGTGTCGTGGAACTCGATGATCGCGGGAAACACTCACAATGGGCAGCTCGAGCAGGCAAAGTCGATGTTTGACAAGATGCCGCAGCGAACGATGCTCTCGTGGAACTCCATGGTGGCGGGGTTTGCTCACTTTGGACAGGGACGAGAGGCGCTAGAGCTCTTCCACGCCATGGCTTTGGAAGGGATCAAACAGGACGAGATCGCCTTCGTTAACGTTCTCGTCGCGTGTAGCCGGATTGGGTGTGTGGATCGAGGGTGGCAGTACTTCGAGTCGATCACCCGCGACCACGGGTTGAATCTCACGGCCGATCACTGCGGTTGCATGGTGGACGTGCTTGCGAGGGCCGGGAAGCTGGAGGATGCCGAGGAGATGCTGGGCAAGATGCCGCGGACGAGGAGCGAGGGGGCGTGGGGGAGCTTGCTGGGGGCTTGTCGGACGCACTGGGATCTAAGCACTGCGTCGCGGGCAGCGCAGGAGTTTGCGTGGTTGAAACCCGAGAGAGCTTTCTCGTATATCATGCTCGCAAATGTTTGCTCTTCGGAATCAAAAGGTGGCAGAGGTTTCGCTTAATGTACTATTATCTTAGCACGGCTTGATTGAATGATCACAAAAGTATTTCTAGGATCATGACTTTGAATAAAGCTTTTTGACTTTATGATTTCTGTGTGACTTATTTCTTTCCACTTAGTAAAGTTTCAAAGCCTTTTACCATTGTAAATATAAACTTTATTTAAATTAGCATCTGTTATTATACAATATACACCTTTAGACCAGGGTATATGCATGTTTAGGCAGACGCATAGTGGCCACGGCCTCTAGAGGGGTTTTAAGCTGACAAGCTCCAGTGGGAGTTTCTTCCATGGATGGCACTGTCCCTGGAACGTAGCTCCAGTCAAAACCATGCACAAGGTTTGCCACTAGAAAGTGTACTGTTCTCAATCCCAGTGGCATCCCAGGGCACTTCCGGCGTCCACAGCCAAATGGGAGGAGATTAAAATCCTGGACGCCTTTAACGTCAGTAGAGCCCACGAAGCGCTCTGGGAGAAACTCGGTGGGGTTCTCCCACACGCTGGGATCCATTCCCAGAGCCCATGCATGTAGGAGTAGCGTTGTTCCTTTGGGGATATCGTAGCCTCCAATCTTGGTGTCTTGGCTCGCAATGCGGGGGCTCAAGAGTATACCGGCAGGATATCGGCGGAACGTTTCCTTGATGATCATTTGGAAATACTCGAGCTTTGGAAGATCGGACTCTTGGACCATCCTAGAGTCTCCCACAACTTGTTGGAGCTCCTCTTGAGCCTTTCTCATGACTCGGGGATTCTCCATCATCGCAGCCAGCATCCACTCGCATATAATTCTCGTCGCATCAGTTCCAGCAGAGATCATCTCCTATATTGATTAAACTTCAGTACTTCAGCATAAAGAGATTCTATTTACTTACAATCAGATTTGCTTTCACTTGAGTTTCCTTCTCTGGTCCGTAAAACTGGAGCATAATATCGAGGAAATCCTTGTTCTCTCGTGTGCTATGCTTGTGCTCCTCAACAATTTTCTGTATAAATCTGTCTTGACTGGCATGAACTTGCTTGTAGTAAGGAAGCTCCCAATCCATCCATCTTAAATACCAAGGAACAAAATTACTGAAAGAGGGCTTGAATATGAAATCCAGTACTTGCATAGCCACCTCCTTGAATTCTACAGTTTCTGGATCCATTGGACCATTGTGATATTCAAAATATCTCTTACTTATCAGATTCTGGGTTATAGTGTTGAATATAAACGTGGATATGATACTCCTCACATTTACACTATCAGATTTAAGTACAAGTGCATCAAGTAGACTAGCGAGTTCCTTGCTTCTCATCCAGGAAAATGAATCAATAGCCTTAGTAGTCAATAATTCCATTGTACACAGCTTCCGGGAATTTTTATAATCTTCGCCATATGGACAAGTTCCTAATCCCATAAAATTGTAGCCAATGTATTCACCCGCAACTAAGTAAGGCTTTGAAGAGAAATTATTATCTTGTGTAGTGAATAACTCTCTCATCAAACTTGAGCTTGAAATGAGAGCAGTAGGAACCATCCCAAACCTTAAGGACACAATGGGCCCATATTTGTCAGAGAGTGCTTGAAACACTTTGTGCTGGGGTTTCCCTCCAGTAAATAAGTGAAGATGGCCAATCAGAGGAAATCCCCATGGGCCCGGTGGAAGATTCAAACGAAATTTAGCACTAGAGTTCCATAAAAATAATAGAATTAAGAGGCAGCCAGCAGTAATAGTGACAAGATCCATTTTTAATTTTGAAGGGCATGGAGACCTCCTTTTAAGCTTGAACAAAAAGCAATGTCACCTACTCCTCAAGGAAAGATAAGATGTTAGTTGACAATTTGTATCTATGTAGATAAGGTACTAGAAGCATGCCATAAGTCACACCTACTAGTCAAAACATTTAAATCTCTTAGTCACTTAATACCGAGTGTTTTGCCTATAAATCTTTATAGATGGCAAAAATGCTTAGACAAGACAAACATGTGGAGGAAATCTCATTTAGTAACAAGAAACTTAATTATAGCCAAGTAAAACTATTTAGGGAGTTTGTGCTATCTCCCTATGACAAGTTTTTGCTTAATGCTTTTGGGTTACTTGCCTGAGCATCAGGCAAGTGATAAGTACATAAATAGACAATACTAAGTAAATAATAGACGCCAAAGTTGTGAAAGAAATTCCACAACTTAGGCCATAAAGTCTAACATACGATATGCTTATAGATGTCGTAAAACCATTGCCTATAAACACAACTAATGAGGTGAGTTTATGCCAAGAAGATCATAGCTAAAAAACTCAATGGGATGAAGAAGATGAAGTTACAAAAGAGGATCTAGATGAATTGAAGGAGTATAGGCTAAAGTTTCTCCAGTCCACCTACGCATCCAATAGTGACACACCCTTGGCTGATCAGTCTAGCGAGATGAGGCAGCTGTAGCAGTAATAGATGCTGCAGCAACACTACAAGGTCAAGGCTAGTCACGTCTTTGCTCACAAGATCACAAGTCAGTCGAGTGAGTTAGCAATTCGAAGCTTTATGAAAGAGCTCGCTCAACATATCAAGGGAGGAGGCAAATAGCTAGTTGATGAGCCAATGCAACCCTTAAAAGATGAAGAAACAGCAAAATACCACATGTAGGTCTTGAGCTACCTCAAGACAATCACCAAAAAAGTGGATAAAGTCATAAGTAAATAGAATTATCAATGCCACATAATCTAAGAACTCAAGAGTGCAATTTTAGCTTCCACATCCACATCCACTGATGTAAAGTGCATTAGCTACCAGGATAAACGCATCACAATGCTCAACCAAAAAAATTAGATTATATGTCAGGAACTTAATAATCTACGCCAAAGCGTTGAGCTTGTTACTATGAAGACCAAGCTCAGTAACCTGGAGCAAGATTTGGAGAATTCAACTGCATGAGGACAGACAATATCTTTATCATAGGGAATAATAAAGATGTAAATGTTTTATCTTGTATATCATCCCAGGTAGAGCAAAAGAAAAAAGCTTAGATGAAATTTAGTTACATCTAAGCTTAAGAAAGATTTAACCTAGGCAACACTTGTCATAAATAAACGTGAAGTAATTAGGAATAATTATAAAATCATGTAATATATAAGTAACACTTAGATGTGCTAGAAAATAACCCCCACTCACTGTCAATACAAATTTGTATTGAATTAACCATTTTTTCTCCTGCCTATGACTATTTGTGCAAAGTAGGGTTAAGAGAGTGATATATATTTATCCTTACTTACACTTTTGAGGTTTGAAGCTGAGTTCTTTTTTATTCTCTTCTCATTCTTTTTTTCTTTCCTATGTTTTTATCTCTATTTATTTATCACTATTTTGCAAGCAAAGGCAAGAACGTAAGTACAAGTAAAAAAAGCCTTACTCAGAATAATAGAAAACTTCTTTTTATAATAATTAGTTGAGAAAATAAACATTAAATGAACTGGTGCTAAATAAACCTCTTGATGGGTCATTGACTTATTTATGCAAAAACTTTCCACTACTCACAAAAATTTGTATTTTCTAGAAGAATCTTTATGTCAAGACCTTCCATTATAATAGCACCAACAGGATGGCGTTGATGCCAACACCTCCATCTAGGAAATGGAGGATGCTAATCTACAGAACACCAATAACGCTAATATGTGTGGCCAATCTTATTATACACCCAATAATAGATATCACAACCATGACTGTGTCCTTTTCTTTGTCCTTGAACACGGGCAACGACAACATCAACCTTCATTGGAACACAGAAAGTGAAACTAAAGTACATGCAATAACAAGTGGGAAAGATGATGTATCATAGTGTTATACCAGTTGAAAAACATCATCAACAATTGCTAAAGCAAGTGCATGCATAAGTTTTACAAGATTTTGACAAAGCATTAGCCACAACATTCCTAACTTGATCTGTTCTGATATATTTAGCTCTACATGAAAAAAAAAAGATTTAGAAGTAAATATTAAATTGCATAACTGACTTGGACAACCTCTGATGGAGATAATGCAATCACTGAAAGGCATCATCATAATCATTAGCATGTCCAAATGTGTATTTAAAAACATCTGAGAGAAGACTCTAATTCACATGAGTGGTTGCACTTAAACTATTATATAATACCGTTCCTTGGAAATATGTGGAAAACTTGTGTAAATGCCAAGCATTATCCCATGAATAATAGTTGGTAATCACCATAAAATGATCGAATTAATAGTACATATTATCCCTAGAAATCCTATAAAGGAACTTTGGTCAGATGTCGGAGTTGGCAACAAGAGTATAAGTCGCACTATGCATGCAACTATCAATTGAGTTTAATTGTTTAGTTACAACCTTATAACATTGAATAATTATACCAATTGTTATTCCATAGTTAAAGAAGGAGAAGGTAGTTACTCTCTATGAAGATGAATAAAAAGAAGATGAAAATTTGCAAAAACTACAAAAATAAGAGAAATTTAGATGATACAAAAGCTAGTAAATAAAAATGCATAAATTTAAGAATTTAGGGATAGTTGAAGACGTCACTCATTTTCACCAATGTAATTGCATAGAATATAAAAATATGCATATTCAATTAGCTCAAAAACCTTAATTTATATACAGGAGCAAGAGGTCCAGATTAAAACTAATCCAATGGTTACTAAAATCCCATTATGCTAAAAATAGTATACAGCATTGTAGTTATATACTTGGACCTCACAATATGTTTTAAATGCTTTTGTGACCAATAAATAATATAGTATTGTAATTAGCTATAATATATAAAAATTTAAAATCCATCAAACTTTTTAAAAATTTAGTAGCTAAATTTATTGTAGCAAATCATAAATATTTTTTTATTTTAATTAAACTATGGAATTATTCATGTTACTTGGTAGCCTATAAAACACTAAAGTGTCTAGCAAACTTGTATGGTAGTGAATATACCTATAATATGCTTGGATATTGCAGGATATTCTACCATTTAACAGTTGTTATTCATTGAGATTAATCTTGTACTTATAATTTATAAACATGTTTATCGTTTATAAACTTTCTTAAACCCTTTTTAGTATATTCTTTTTATTCTATCATCTAATGGTTGATATGCAATAAGATTAATCTTGTGACAAACATGATTATAATTATAAACTTTATTTGATAAATTGGATTAATAAGTACCATTAAGCAAACCAAGCATTGCTATATGCAACATGTAGCAATTTTTTTAATATAAGGATTCACAACTTAAATCTTAAGTTAAATATGATATATTTTTGAATGTAATTATGTGTAATGAATTTGTATTGAAGCTTTGTGATTACATTATTAAATGCATTTAGTAGTAATCTGAGATTTTGCTAGACATGATGACAACTGAATTCATGATGACAACTTTAATAAGTACCCAATACCATTATTTAACTGCTAAAATTTTAATTTAACTTAGTTTCTGATCTTAAAAAGGAATTACATGCTATGCTATATAAATAGCAGTACAGAAAAAGTAAATAGCTCTTACTTTGCTTCTTCTACAACATTAACATTGTTTTGATATCTAGAAGATCCTAGCAAACACCTCCAATCTGTAATATCTGGAGTGTAGGGCATATTCTTCACAAGCTCCTCTGCTTCTACTAAATGCCCAGCCCTACCAAGCAAATCTGTCATGCACGAGTAAATCTGTCTATTTGGTTTTACATCCTGATCATTAATCATGTATACAAAGCATTTTACACCAACTAAGACACTTCCGGAGTGGCTACAAGCAATGAGAATTGAAATAAAAGAGCTCTCAGTTAATCTAGTGCCTTCCAAATCCATAGACTTAGCCAAAGTCAAGCTTTTTTGCAAATACCCAGCTTGAGCATATATAGCAAGCATGGCATTCCAAGAAATACCATCTTGTTCTGGCATTGTATCTAAGGTCTTCCTGGCTTTTTTGAGTAGTCCTCTTTGGCCATATGCTGTGAGCATGCTTGTCCATGAAAGCATATCATGCTCCTCCATTGAGTCAAACACAAGTTTTGCTTCTTCAAGGAATCCATGTTGGGAATAGGCAGCTAGAATTGAATTCCAAGTGATCAAGTTTTTCTCAGGCATGTTCTCAAATAAACACTTTGCTTCATCCATATGCCCTCTTTGAGCATAAGCTGTGATCAGAGCTGTCCATGACACTACATCATGCACTGGCATCATCTCAAACAAGATCTTTGCATTCTCAATTTTATCCTGTTTGACATAAGCAGCCATCATTCCATTCCAGCTTATAGTGTTCCTATCTTCCATCCCCTCAAATAATTTCTTAGCATCTTCAACATGCCCATTTTGGGCATATGCTGTAAGCATTGCATTCCAAGATATGACATTCTTTTCTTCCATGCTATAAAAAATACTCTTAGATTTTTCCAAATCACCTTTTTGAGCATAAGCCGAGAGGAGAATATTACAAGATACAGAATCATGGCGTGGCATCCTGGAAAACATTTCTTCTGCTGATGAAAGATGCCCATTATAAGTATATGCCACTAGCATGGCATTCCACGTCACTATATTCCTCTCAGGCATATCATAGAAAAGATTTTGGGCTTCTGTCAAAAGGCCTTTGTGGGCATAAAGAAAGAGCATTGAGTTTAATGTGACAATGTCATGGACTGGCTGCTTGTGGAACAATCTTATAGACTCCCGAAGATGCCCTCTCTGAGAATATCCTGACAGCATTGCGTTCCATGCAACTAGATTCCTCAGTGGCATGGAATCAAACAAGGCTTGAGCTTCAGGAAGAAGCTCGGCTTGGGAATATGCCACCAACATGGTTGTGCTTGAAACCATACTATGCTCTGGCATCATAAGATAAATCAACTTTGCACTCTCCAGATGCCCGTTTTGCGCATATGCTGCAAGCATGGTGTTCCAAGTTATAAGATTTCTATTTTGCATGCCATCAAAAATGTTTCTAGCTTCTTCAACTTTCCCGTTTTTTGCATAGATCGTGATCATAGTTGTGAATGTAAAAATATCTCTCTCTGGGAACTTATCAAAGAGAGTCACAGCTTCGACAAGATACCCTTTCAAGGAATATGCAGCAAGCATTGCATTCAAAACTATAAGATTCCAAAGCGGCATTTGATCAAAGAGCTGTCTAGCGTAATTCAAGTTCCCAGACCGAACAAACGCATTGATCATATGTGCATAGGAAAAAATATCTTTGTTGCTAATGGCCAGAAAGACCGAATGAGCAAGATCAAAGCTCCCACATCGATCATACATTTGTATGATCATGTTATGGACGTGGGTACCATTGCCCATCACAAGGTCTTTGCTGAAGCTTACTTGGGCATGGATGCGTTTCGCTTGGGGTAGCGTCTTGCAAGACCGAATTATCTCAAGACTCAGTCCCCCAAGTTGTTGGCAAATGCCCAAACCGGGCATTTTGGTGGAATCTAAAAACTATTTACAAAATTATGGTCCACGACTTCTATATCTACACCAGTCATTAATATTATTGCTAATTACTATTTTAGCATATCCAGAATAAAGTTTATTGAAGTCTTCTAGCGCACGTGATGCTTGCTGTGGCGGTTGAAAGGAAATTCAAATAACTAACCATTTGTTATCTTAAATCATATTAACTTAACATAATTATGATTAAGGGAAAAAGAGGCACTTTAGGGTTTATCATAAAAGTACCTAGTGAGATTCTTTACAGGGAGAGCAAAGCGAGCGTCGGTGCTAGTGGCTTTAAATGGGCGCCAGGCGTACGGCATTGTCTCTGTCGCGAGTCGCTACTTGATCCGATCGTAGGTTGCCGCCCCAGATCATCGCTTTCATCCATTGCCGCGTGCGAGCGCCGCTGTAAAATCGTTTCTTGGAGCCAGCCAGGTAACACGAGCTCCTCTCTAGATCGTCTCTCTTTCTCCAGGGTTTTGCCAGAGATTCCTGGCTCTCAGATCTCCGGTGATGCGTATTTCGGGGGATTGAATCGCTCGTCGTGTGTTCTTGCGCAGATGGCCAAAGATCTGGGTGCGTCGTCCCCGAAATATCACCAGATCGTGGACAAGAAGCGCAGCTACACGCGTTTCTTGCTCACGGCGCTATGCTGCCTCGCCTTCTACCTCATCGGCGCCTGGCAGAACAGCTCCAAGGTCCACATTGATTCCACCACCGTCTCCTACTCTACCGGATGCGGCGCGCTGGATTTCCAGGCTCACCACTCGGCATCGGCAACGGCAGCGTCGAAAATCTCTTCGTCTTCCGCCCTGGATCCCTCCACCGCTCCAGTCCCAGCCTGCGACATGGGATTCAGCGAGCACACGCCCTGCCAGGATGCCAAGCGCTCGCTCCAGTTCGATCGAGCGCGGCTGGTGTATCGAGAGAGGCACTGCCCGCCCGACAGCGAGAAGCTCCAGTGCTTGATTCCAGCTCCGGTGGGCTACAAGAATCCTTTCTCGTGGCCCAAGAGCCGGGACTACGCATGGTTTGCCAATGTTCCTCACAAGGAACTTACGGTGGAGAAGGCCATCCAGAACTGGATCCAGTACGAGGGCGATAGGTTCTTCTTTCCAGGTGGTGGAACCATGTTTCCTCGCGGTGCCGATGCCTACATTGACGATATCAACTCCATTCTTCCGCTCACGGATGGGACCATTCGAACAGCTCTTGACACTGGCTGTGGTGTAAGTGTTCTAGTTTCTTTTTTGGTTTGATCCTCTTGTTTTGACTTTGTGTTGTTCGATCCAGGTTGCTAGCTGGGGAGCTTATCTCCTCAAGAGAGGGATACTCACAATGTCGTTTGCTCCGAGGGACACTCACGAAGGCCAAGTTCAGTTTGCTTTAGAGCGAGGAATTCCTGCGATGATCGGCATCATGGCTTCTCAGAGGTTGCCTTATCCCGCGAGAGCATTCGACATGGCTCACTGTTCTCGATGTCTCATTCCTTGGACTGCTTATGGTAAGTTTTAGTTGATACTTCTTTTTCTTCCAAAGATAAGATATATTACAACACCATTCCAGATGGCCTCTACTTGATCGAGGTTGACCGTGTTCTTCGTCCCGGTGGCTACTGGATCCTGTCTGGGCCTCCTGTCAACTGGAAGCTGCACTGGAAAAGCTGGCAGAGGACCAAAGAGGACCTGAGTGGGGAGATGACCGCGATCGAGAATATGGCGAAGAGCTTGTGCTGGAAAAAAATTGCAGAGAAAGGGAACCTTGCAATCTGGCAGAAACCGAAAGATCACACCGACTGCTCCAATGGTCCCGAGTTCTGTGACAAAGAGCAGGATCCTGATCTTGCCTGGTACGTAAGATTTTAAGTGTCAAGCCGCTCGTGAGAACTGCGCTTCTTTGTTTCAGGTACAAGCCTATGGAGGCATGCATTTCGAAACTCCCGGAAGCTGACCAAAGCGAAGATCTACCAAGGTGGCCCTCTCGGCTAACCACGACACCATCACGAATCTCCAGCGGCTCACTATCCAGTGAAGACAGCTTCAACGCCGATACTCAACTCTGGTCGCAGAGAGCCTCGTACTACAAGAAGACGGTGCTACCAGTGCTTTCTTCGGGAAGGTACCGTAACATCATGGACATGAACTCCGGCCTTGGAGGATTCGCGGCGGCACTTTCAATGAACAGCAAAATGTGGGTGATGAACGTAGTCCCCCACCACCACCAGCACAAAACTCTGGGAGTCGTCTACGAGCGGGGCCTCATCGGCGTCTACCACGACTGGTGCGAGGCATTCTCGACGTATCCCAGGACTTACGACTTGATCCACGCTGATAACGTCTTCAGCCTCTACAAGGACCGGTGAGTTGATTGCTCGGTTTTAACTTAATATGTTCTAACGTGGCTGCTTGTGTTATTAGATGCGAGATGAAAGACATCCTGATCGAGATGGACAGGATCTTACGTCCCGAAGGAGCCGTGATCGTCCGGGACCAAGTCGACACTCTCAACCGAGTGAAGCGGATCATGACCAGCATCCGGTGGCAGAGCAAAATGTACGACCACGAGAGCGGGCCTTTCAACACCGAGAAGGTCCTGGTCGCAGTGAAAACTTACTGGGTAGGAAGTTCCAATTCGACTCTCTAGCCTTCGGTGAGCCTGCTCGTATTTTTGTTCTGGTTCCCTGCTGGCTTGTCAACTCATTTTTTTCTTACGTGATCTAAGAAGTTCCTTTTCCGTTTTACGTCTCCTCGGCTTCGCAAAACCTCGCCTTTCGTCGCTGCACAATCTTCACAGGTTGCTCCCTCTCCCGGATTGTGGGAAACAGGCTCCGGCACTGGATCCGGGCCCCATTCACCAGTACCCAAGTCACGAACGAGACGCTCGCGCAGAGAGACATCTTCCACAGCCACCCGGGTCCCGGCTGCCGGTTGTTTTCTACTTCCTCGTCCTTCGATCCTTTGGCCGCGGCTGCCTGTTGCTCGATCACTTTCCTTATTTCTAACTGCACCTTGTCTTCAAGGCTAGCTTTCTCTTCCTCGGACAGAGCTTCGTGAAGATCCACCGAAGAAGAAGAAGACTCCAACACTGTGGTGGAGTTGGAGTTCGAGTTCGAGTTTTCAGTGGCCACTGCCTGCTGCTGCTGCTTGCTCGCGAAACTCTCGATCTGTTCCTTGGTGGTCCGTTCCCAGTTGCTGGAAGATGAGGAAGACGCTCCAGCGTGGTGAGGAGAGATCCTCTCCGGCGCCTCCGGCGATGATCGGTACGTAGGAGCTTGAGTTTGCTCCTCCTCGTCGTCTAACCGTGCGAGGCTTTTGTAGGCACTGTCGAGCCAAGCAGGCATTTCCGGAGAAAAGCTCTGCTCCATCACCTCAGCCTGGTTCATCGTCGATGATTCGAGCTGGCACCTCGTTCCACTCGAGAACATCATCCTGGGAGGAAGAAGGAGCTCTTCTTCCTCCACCGTTGGGAAAGCCATTGGAGCCTTGCCTCGCCTCTCGCCATTCTCTTCTGGAGCCTTTCCTTTCTTCCTTCGCAGCTCTCTCTCCTCGATCTTGCTCAAGACACCATCTTCTCTCCTTCCCTGTTCTTCCATCTCATCCTCTCGCCTCCCCGTTTCTACAAACTCTCCTCCTCTATCCAAAGCTCCTCCTCCATCTCCTCCACCGCCACCATCTAAACCCCGATCTTCATCCAGAAACCATTCCACCTCCTCTATGTCCGAGATAAACTTGTTCTTGCTGGCAATTGGTGACGCACAACTGATCATATTCTTTGGACTGGGTCGATCGCTGCTACTGCTACTGTTCTTCCCGGCGCTGGAGTTCACGCCCAAGATCTGCTCCAGATTCTTGCTAGAAGTGATCTCCGGCTCCAAGAACGAGCCTTTGATGAGATACGTCCTCGGTGTCTCGGACTCCATCTCCTTTGCCGGATAGATCTTCTCGCACTTTTCCATCTCTTTCGCTGGAAGGATCGTCTCGCACTTCGGGCTGGGCGATTGGGAAGCGCACCTGGGAGTGGTGCCGCCGCTCCGGGAGCTCTCCCTGGCGGTGGCGCATCGGGATTTGGCCTTGCCGCCCGCCGCCGCGATCAATTTCGCCGCCTCGCTCTTGCTATTGCGGAGCTCGCTCGTCCCCAGTGAAAGGATTGGATCGTCGCTACCTGCGGTGTAGAGATTGGCGCCGGATTCCGGGTGCTTGCTCCTCATTGGATCGATCGACGAGAAGAATGTGACGCGGACGCGAATTTCCCCTTGTTCCTAGCAAAAAACCCTAGAAGTGTGTAAGCCCTATCAACAAGCGCGCCCCTTGAACCTGGGCCATGCAAAAGTGGACGGCGCGGATGTTGCCACGCAGGCAGCTCCAACGGCTTCGTTTTTACAAACACTTTTTTACGTGTAGCTTGATTGATTTTCCGTATATAACAAACCAATCAAATGGAGCTAAATTATTTAGTTGACATGTGGCGGATGATGAACACGTAACGTATTTTCCTACTTTCCTGTGTGTGGGTGTCCAAACCATGTGAAATCGCTTGATGGATTTGAAAACCTCGATGTTGTGCCATCAGTCTTTATGTGGAACACAAAAACACATCCTTGCAATCTTTCTTTCCATCGCTTTGGGAAGCTTGGGTACTTTCATTTTCGACCATTCATTCCTGTGATGCAATATTTGGCAGTATAGTTCATACTTCTTTAAGCTCGCTTCATTAATCGCGTACCAGAAAGTTTGTCCCTAATCCCGGGTTTTGAAGATCCAGGTAACCGTGCGTTTGGTTTGCTAACTCAATGGTCTAGGCCTTCCCTAAATGGCGTCATAGCAATTGATGTTGTAGACAATGACTCTGATATGAGAGAGAGAAACAAGAATAGAAGCGTGAGTATGTTATCACAAACCATTCGATCTCAAAACCTGTAGAAGAAAAGAAAAGAAAGTGATCCCATGGCTGGAATTTTCGTGATAAATCTTAACTGTTAGATTAGGATTTTTAGCACTCAGATGCTTACAAACCAAAATCGAAAAAGTTTGAAAGTCAACAGTATTTTGAGACCACGCGGAATGACCCAGTCGCTTGATTGCTATTCATATGACCCCTAGATCGAGCACGAGCTCGAATAGAGAATCCACACTTCAATCAATGCAAACGCAGTGATCGCGCTGGTGGTCTAATCCTCAATTTCTTCCATGGGTTTGAGTGATCGTGGTAGGAATGGCAGCAATCTTCATCTTTTTCCTCTTTTAGTTCTAGTCGCCATTGGAGCTGCCCGAGCTTTCCAGTGCTACCACGTGAATCAGACCACGGCTTACAACAGCGATGATGATCTTGGCGACTACTGGCAATATCCCCTCGACACCGACGGATTGAGCGGGCGCTGGGCGGGCTACTGGTCCAACACGACGTACATCGAATTGGGCGACATCACATTCCAGCTCTGGTTCCTCACTTACGACGCTCGCAACTTCACGCTCTCTCTCGTCGCCATGCGCGAGCCCACCCAGGAGTGGGAACTCTACAGGCCCGTAGTGCTGTGGACCGCCAACCGGGACAGGTACTTTGGAGAGGGCGCGACGCTCGACTTTGGCGCCGATGGAGAGCTCATCGTCCGGGAGAATGGGCTTACGGTGTGGTCGACCGGCACGGCCGGGAAGGGCGTCACGGAGATGTGCATCACCAATCTGGGCAACCTCTTGCTGAGAAACTCCACCGATCATATCATCTGGCAGAGCTTCGATTCTCCATCGGATACATTCCCCATACAGGTGGCGTTCAAGCCCGGGAATCGCCTCGTCAGCTGGGCTTCCCCCAAGGATAGCAGCCAAGGATCGTACAGCCTCGCCATGGAGGAAAATCGCCTCGCCCTCTACTTCAACTCGGAGGTCTACTGGAGTTTCGAGAGTGATGGTGGGGATCCAGGAAGCAGTGACTTGTTTGCAGCAGTGTGCTGGCAGACGAATGGTCTCATGTCGCTCGATCTCCAGCGCAATGCGTCCATGCCGGAGTACCAAGGGTTTCTGTCGGCGGAGTCGTGCCAGAGCTCGGCACCCGTGAAGAGATTCGAGCTGCTTCGTAATACCCAAAACTTCCCGTATGGGACCTTCCTCAAGCTCAACACCATGGGCGATCTCACCGTCTACACCTGGAACACCACGGGCGACTACTGGTACGCTGCGTTTAACCTCTCGAGCAACTTCAGCTGCTTCCTCCCTCAAGCTCAAGAGTGTGGCCAGTACGGGATCTGCAACAAAGGGGACGGCCAATGCTGCCCTAGTTCTCTCGATTACCAGGGTGGTGTTTGCGGTGCTAGGAGGCCTCTGCCGCTTGATCCCAGAAGATGTGAGCCCCATGAGATTGTGCGAATGGAAGGAGTTGACTACTTCTCTACCAACTTTAGCACGGAACTGCCCGTGGTGGACGAAAGCGAGTGCCGTAGGCGATGCGAGGAGAATTGCTCGTGCATGGCTGCGTTTTTCAAGGAGAAATCGTGTTTCCAGACACACGAGCCCATCCAGTCCATGATAACAGGGGAATACACGGGTCTTCTCAAGGTGGCGAAGACTAGTGTGGGAGATTCTGGAAATCAGGCTCTGGTGTATCGGGTGGCTTTGCCGGCGCTGCTGCCAGCATTGGTGTTGCTTGTGGCGCTTCTGGCTTGGATCTGCTGGAAGAAGTCTTTGGAGAAAGCTGGCGGGGAATCAGACAAAGAGGAGGAAGAGCTGGAGATGTCCTTGCGGGATTGCATGCCCAGGAGATTCACTTACAAGGAGCTGGAGCAAATCACTGGGGGTTTTAGCAAGTGTCTGGGACAAGGTGGATACGGAAGTGTTTACCGAGGAAGCCTAGAAGACGGTAACCAGGTTGCCGTCAAGAAGCTCCAGGGCTCAAATCAAAACAGCCGGGATTTCTATGCGGAGGTGGCGAGCCTTGCAAGGACGAATCACTTGAACCTGGTGAAGTTCATTGGATTTTGTGCCGAGGGGCCAAGGAAACGCTTGCTCGTTTATGAGTTCGTGCCAAATGGTTCTCTGGAGAAATGGATCTTTGGCGATGATGGTGGCGATGATAGTTCTTCTCAACAACAGGATGGATCGGGTGGCTTGTCGTGGGACTGCAAGTTCCGGATTGCGGTTGGCACAGCTCAAGGACTGTGTTACTTGCACGAGGAGTGTGCCGATAGAATCATTCACCTGGATCTCAAGCCGGAGAACGTTCTCGTAGACATCGGATTCGTGCCAAAGATTGCCGACTTTGGGCTGTCCAAACTCATGAATCGCGAAGTGACATACCTGCAAATGACAAGCATGCGAGGAACTCCGGGCTATCTTGCTCCGGAATACTTGCAAGTCGGGACAATCACTGAAAAGAGCGACGTTTTTAGCTTTGGGGTATTGCTGCTGGAGATCATCACTGGATGCAGAAACAAGTACATGTCAAGCGATTACCTTAGAAGCTTTTCACTCGGTGGTTTTTCACGCCAGAAAAGTTTCACGAAGTCAATCAGCAAAACACGGAAGAACTTATGTGATGGTGGATCTTCAGGAGGAATTGCTGATAAGTACCAAGCAGCTGGGATGGCGAGATTGAAAGCAGTGGCATATTTGTGCGTGCAAGATGATCCCGACATGCGGCCCTCGATGAGCACGGCTCTGAAAATGATGGAAGGACTGATTGAGCTACCAGAGACGCCACCTCTGTCGAGCTTGCATTTTTTCCTTGGCTATCGATCCAAGGTGAAGCTGCCATCGAGTTCCACGTCCAAGAGCTCCAAGTTTTCATTCAGCTCGGTGGATGAAACTTCAACTTTGATTTTCATTAATTAATGCATTTTCTGTTTATAAATTTTGCCATATTATTGACTAACATATAAATTTACATCACATAACAATATATACTTAGGTTTTTAAATATAGTAATTTAATTGCAATGTGACTGTGACAATAATTGCATTGTCTTTATCAAGGAGCAATTATGCAATTTAATGTTTACTTTTGGAGTCTTTTATTTTGTCTGGAGTTAGAATATTTTGGAGTGGATCAAATTAAATATGTTATAGCCAACACTTTATCAAAATATTATGAGACTTTTGCATATATTTATTTTAGCCACCTTTGATGATGCTCTTTGCCATTTTGGGTTAAAGACTTGCATAAATACAATGCTATAAAATATAATCTCTTTTTATATGTACTTGAGCTCCCCTTTATGAATACATATTAACACTATTGGTGCTTATGTTCAAGGATAAGGACAAGGATATAATTATAGCCATAATATTTGCTAGGACATGATGAAGTTAACTGCACATATTAATGTTGTTGGTATTTTCTGGATTGATGTCTTTATTTCTTAGGTTAACAATGTTTTATTAGTGTTGCTGCAATAGAAGGTTTTAACTTAAAGATTTTTTAAAAAAACTAAAAGTCAAATAAGTGGTGGATCCTTGTGTGAATAAATTAATAGCCCCTCTATTTTTCTTTTAGGAATACTATCAAAAGGTTTACTTTATTAAGTGTTTACTTTCTAAACTTTTTTTTATAACAAAAGGTCTTTATTATTTATTTTGTGTTAACCAATATGGGCTTGAGTCTATCTATGGCAATGTATATATATATCTGTGTGTGTGTGTGTGTGTGTGTGTGTGTATGGCCATTGCCATAGATAATACACAAATATAAATGACAACATGTGGAAACATGTTAAGTAATTGTGTATATATATATATATATATATATATATATATATATATATATATATATATATATATATATATATATATATATATATATATATATATATATATATATATAT